CCGACAGTGTTTTTTCGGGGGAGGGCACTTAAATCTTTGGGGTGATGGAGTACGGGTCTTGGGTGTGGAGGGCGCACAGTGGTTTTCTATATTTTCTATATAATGGCTTTTAAAATATTTCGGGGGGGGGGGGGGGAAGGAGAGAAAGAGTGGGTTGGACGTGTTCCGGGGAGGGGGGGGGGCTGATTATTGCTGTATAGTAAAACTGTGAGGGGAAAAAAACTAAATTGCCCACAGCGATTTGTTACCTTTCGTACAGGTGGGAATTCCATGAAAAATACAATTTGACCTGTTTTCAGCCACTCTATCTCTCGTATTGGGGGGGGGGGGGGGAGGACGACTTTGATCGGCGCGAAACTAGTGGGAGTGGCGAAGACACAGACATCAATTTTAGTTGCTTTATTGAATACACAGTCAAAGTATTTCCTCATATTTTGGGTAAAAATAAAACGAAAACGGACATTACAGCCACATAAATATCACGGAGTCTACAGTGGTTCTCTACGTTGACCAGTAAACTAACATACTATCTACGGAGGGGAGGGGGGCGCTGTTTTATGGTAATAAATTTAAAAAATTGAGAACCATTCTACACGGAATTTGATTTGAAATTCTAAAATAAAAATGCCTATTGACAAATACAACACATATTTTCTAAGAGGTATGTTGGTGGACCCGAGTCTAGGCCGCGTCTGTTTGGTTCAAAGTGCAGTCTAATAAAACATGTTCGGTATTTTTCAGGGCCACACCCCAAGGCAGAGGCGTAGCGACCCTTCCCGGCGCCCAGGGACAAACTTTCGATTTGCCCCCCCCTCGAACTTTTGATTTGCACCCCCCCCCCCCTCAGGGGGGGGGGTGCAAATCAATTTGTTTTTCCAACCAATTTTGGCGCCCCCCCCCCTAAGGCCGGCGCCTGGGGACATGTGTCCCCCCCGCCCCCCCCCCTCGCCACGCCTCTGCCCCACGGGCAAGGTTTGCTGGGACCAACTTCTATTTTGCGAAGCATGCATTGTGTCTCATTATAATTGGAACCATTTTTCCTTAGGTCAATTCATTACGACTATATACGAGGTCGAATGTCAAGCGTAATTAATGACTTATCAACAAGCAGTCAGCAAATGATGTGCACGAGAATAAACACCCATCGTCTGGTAGCAAACACGACGTGTCAACACCCTTGTGGCTGTAATGTTTGACCGAAGCTCAGAGCTGATGCGATGTCGCGTTACATCTCAAGGCAAATGGGTGCCCATTAACAAAGGTCAAGGCATCGCGTGATCCCCTTGATTGAGTAATTAAATTATGAATTAGTGCTGAGAGATAGATGGCATAAGTGATACAGATCAAAGGGAATTTATGGGGCCGGCGTGGTCTAGTCGGCATATAGGGACAGCCACTCATCTAGGAGAGACAACTCCAAAATCAAACAACTGCTGCCTTGTAGTTTGTTCTTGGTTGGACAAAGGCTATGGAAACAAATCCAAAAAAGAAATGCAGGTTAACATCCCCATAGCCATAATTCTAAGAAAACCTGTTTTATATAATTTTTGTCCTTTTAAAAATACAATAAACGTATACAATGTTACAGCAGAATTTCGTAGCCTTCTTCCCCTCGACGAATATCTCAAAGTTGTGACGTCATTTACACCTCAGTGCCGTAAGTCAGTAAATGTGCTTGTGTTCACCAGACCATCTCAGGTCAGTAAATGTGCTTGTGTTCACCAGACCATCTCAGGTCAGTAAATGTGCTTGTGTTCACCAGACCATCTCAGGTCAGTAAATGTGCTTGTGTTCACCAGACCATCTCAGGTCAGTAAATGTGCTTGTGTTCACCAGACCATCTCAGGTCAGTAAATGTGCTTGTGTTCACCAGACCATCTCAGGTCAGTAAATGTGCTTGTGTTCACCAGACCATCTCAGGTCAGTAAATGTGCTCGAGTTCACCAGACCATCTCAGGTCAGTAAAGGTGCTCGTGTTCCAGTTATAATAGTCTTAGGATTATAAAATGTCACCACCTTCCTCAATAATATCTACGTCCCCAGCTAATGAGACCTTTCACCATCTCCAATGCCTCCATCTGTTAGAAGCTTCCCTACCCCATCAAATCACTCTTGCTCATGCCAATAAAATCACCTACCACATCCCAACAACACGCAAAACGTGACATTATATTTTTTCTTTATTTCTATTTCGTCTAATTAATAGCCTGCACGACTTCACTAATTATCTACTGGTGACGAAGACATGACGAAAAGACTAATGGCTTTTATGACCTGTAATAAAAATAAATGATGTTGCTAAATATTTTAAAAATACTAATTTTAACGACACGTCAGCAACCACGTATTGACAAAAGCGTACAGTGTTAATGTTTTAAAATCACAAAGCCCCGTATGGGTCCATCGCTGTTGTCTTGAGCCCCCTAAAGCGCAACCAGTCAAATCTCGTTATTTCAACACGCATGCTGTCAATCTTCAGCTCGTGAGTTCATTTCAAATATTTGCTTGTCGAATCGTAACACAAATAGGTCGTTCTCTCCCCCTGTTCACGAATAGCCTATTGTTGATATGAACAAGAGTTAGGGAAATGTTACATTGTATTTAAAGAATAGAAGTAGGCTACTTACAGCACTCAGAGAGGGGAGATGTGAAAACAATGCCCCTTTTAATTCAAATGATCGTAATACGAATGGGAGGGGGGGGGGGGAGACGTGGTGGTATTGAGTAATGTATGTTATGTGACATTGCCTTTGATTTGTGTGTGTAAGCATAATTCCTGTTATTGAGAATGGCCGGACCATTGTTTAATGAATGAATAAAAGGGGTAGTGCATAAACGACGTCATGTATTTGTAGCTTATTCACTAGTATTCACCACCCATGATCGTCAGTTCGTCACAACAAGTCAGCCCCCCCCCCCCTAAATGCACCCGACACTTGAGTCTCAACATCTTCTAAAATAGCTATTTCTCTCTAAATTATATAAACAATTATTATTTAATACTAACATTTTTGGACCCTATACAGAGTTTCTTCCAGACATCTTCCGAACGAAATGGAATTTATATAGTAAACATTATACTTTTACCAGTGTAGGGGGAAGAAGGGCAGATCGTTTAGGGACCCAAAATCCAATCAAAAGAAAAAGTTGAAAATTTATTTGAAAAATGTAATATTCGTGCACCTTGTCGTGGTTTTGTAAAAACACTACAGAGCTACTTAATCGTCGGTATTCTAATAATTATATTAACCGATGGGCCCTCTTAAATCCACATATAGCTCTGATATTGTTATTTGTTTTAAAAGTATTTATTATATATTAGAATTGATTTTAAAAAAATGGCTAGTGTTAAAAGTATCTCTATTTTTTTCAACGTAACTGAACAACGATCGTAGTCCAAAAGTTTTAAACTGGGTTTCAGGAAATTTGGATTCGGCCCAGCTGGATCTTAAGAGGATCGAGATATGTCGACACTGTTGATGTTCATCTCACATGACAAAACGCACACTTGACAAACAAATAGACAAAACACACCAAAAGGGACCAGTGTTTCTTCCAGACTTTTTTCTCCGGGGGGGGGGGGCACTTGAAATTTTCGGGGGGGGGGGGGCGTTAGACTTTCTTTGGGGGGGGGGGGCGGACACTGTTAAAAGTATATATTTTCTATATAAATTATATAAATTTCATTTCATTTTTTGGGGGGGGGGGCGGTAAAAAATTTTCGGGAGGGGGGGCGAAGCCCCCCCGAAGAGATGCCAGGAAGAAACTCTGAAAGGGACGCTGTATAAAGAAATTAAAAAGGCTAATTACAACTGGAAAACAGGTTACGATAAAATTGCAAACTATCTCCCAAAAATAAGGTTCGAGTAGGTAGTCCAAACTGAAATTAACTATTGATTGCAGACATCTGTAGCGAGTATGTCCTTAAAGAACTTTCAATTCTAAGTTCTATGACACTCATTTTATAAAACTATCTCAACAAATAAAAAAGTTATGCGATTTTTTATAAAACAAAAATTGGTAAAAAAAAAGTACCATTTTTGAAAACCAATATTTTCTAAAATAAATAACACAGAAGTGTAGAAATTGGTAAAGTTGCTGGAAAAATTGTAATAAATATGCCCAACTTGGGTTGGTAACATAAACAGGAAATTAAAAAAAAAATACATCAAACGATCAGCTAAAATTCGCTCTTTCGCGTGACATTAAGATTATGTTCCTACGATGCTAAGACGCGAAGCCGCAACTAAATGAAACAGTATGGAGTCGATCTGTACTCGCAAAACGGTCATTTTTTTCCCCGTAACTGATACTTTTCTAAAAATATAACACACATGTTTTACATATATAGAGGCGTAGCGACCCTTCCCGGCGCCCGGGGACAAACTTTCAATTGGGCGCCCCCCTCGGGAACAACCTTTCAATTTTCAATTTGCACCCCCCCCTCAAACTTTCATTTTGCACCCCCCTATGCTATATATTTGTTATATTTATAATACAAAACTGCAGCTAAAATGAGGTTTTAATTTTTTTTTACAACCCATTTTGGCGCCCCCTAAGATCGGCGCCCGGGGACATATGTATCCCCCCTCGCTACGCCTCTGTATATATATATAATACCAGATTTCGACAGATAAAGACTTAAAAAAGCTTATAAAAATGATATATAGGCCTATATTATTTTAACGTAGGTCTTTTAAAAAAATATTATTTCACAATTGACCAGAATTTACTGTTTTTTACTATTAATATTATTAACATTTAAAAGTCGATAAATATTTTAAAAGTTTGACAGTAAAAAATTCCGCCTTACTGTACATTGTGTTTCCGAAAGCTAGGGGCTCGAAACATTTCCACATTTTCTAAAAATAAACTGATCGAAATTTTGTAGCTACTGAAATTAGAAAATTAACTTAGATCCAAATCTAGATTTCTAGCCATAATTTTATGTTAAAAAATAAAAAAAAAATACATCGAATACATTTTAGGGCTCTTACAACTCGCCCAGTTCCGTGACTCCAAAACTTAATTACACAAAAAAACTTTTACTTTCACGTAAAAAGCGCACAAGGTTATTTCCATTGAACAGGAGGTCATTTTTCAAAATGGCGCTGCCCTTGTTTAGAGTTTGTTTATCAAAGAATAACTTAGTTTCAGGTTTTAAATGTAAGTTATTTTGGTTATCTTTCAATGTTTTTAAACCCCATAATCATGATATTGCTAGGGTAAACTATAACTTGATTTACATTGGCCAAGGACATTATTTTGGGTTGTTTAGCTGATTGTACTTTAAAGAAGTCCCAGGAATGCCCAGGATAAAATAAAAAAAAAAAAACACAGGAAAAAGAGTCACTGGATAAAAAATTAAAACCACAGGAAAAAAGCCACTGGATAAAAAAAAGGCTGATTTCAGCCGGAAAAAGATATGCATGCGCAATTGAAAGAAACTATGACTTACCTTCGTCGCGATGTTTTCGATGGTACTACACATGCGTGTGTTTACAAACCGCAGAACTCTAACTCTAACCCTATCACTATCAGTACTATCACTAACCCTAACTCAGCTATTAAGGTCACTGCGCATGCACAGAACTATCTTTTGCTGACCAAATGGAGCCACTGGGGCAAAAAATCTTTTTTCGAGTAGTCACTTTGAAAAAAAAAAAGAAAAAAGTCACAAATGTGGATTTGAATGGAATTTGTTAGTCCATATTTGCATGGTTCGCTCCGCTATTATGCTAAATCTTTACACTAGGCGGCAAGCGATCTAAAATAGATAACAGGACTGCCCGTTTTTTTCCCGACATAGATCTAGATCTAGTTTAAGTGTATTATTTCAATAGCTAAGAATCTAGTTTAGTACTTGTAAAAAAACAGTACAGTGTCATGTGTCAGTGGTGGGTCAGATGATGATAGTCCTAGATCTAGCAGCAATCTAGCTAAATCAAACTGCCCTTTAGTAAATTGTTTTTACAGCTATATAGCATGCGTGATAGTAGATCTAAGTCTATATTATTAAACCAAATTGAACTTAAAAAAAATTCAATTTGCTTGAGGGGGGGGGGAGAGAGAAGTGAAGACACAGACGATCTTGTGAACTTGTGTTCATTTTATTACGTATGCTTTAGGCCTGCTGAACTCACAGTGACCCCGCCGACCGTGATGAGATTTTTCACTCACGGGATAGTAAACGTAAGCAAGCAATCATGCCAGTGACAATGTTTGGAAATTTTATTTAAAAAAAAGTATCACACGTCATGTTTTCAATATGAAAAGATACTGGTATCGTTGTGATAACTCCGGGTTAGAACCTGGAGCTCCAGGTCTATGAACTACAGTCTACACTTGGTACACTGTTGACTCAAACACATCAGATGTGTTGGGGCATGTAAAAAGTAAGCATTTTTAATCACAAGATGGCAAATTATTTATTATTTTTAATGTATTAGGCCTAAATATTCAGAAAGTGCAATGTAATGTACAATGTAGTAAACATTTTAGTATTTTAGATTTATCACGCCTTACCATAGGTCTATAGCCTACTACAATAACAATTATAATATTAATATAGAATCAAGGCGTAGGTTGTATACTTCATGTATATGTATGTCGTATCATACAGTAATAACTTCACACTCCTAAAAATGTAGTAATATAAGTTTTTATATTATTTGATAGAATTTAATAGGATGTTCCAACCTTCTCGGTTTTCATCATGTTTTTTAAATACTAACTTTAAATTAGCATGAAATGGCATAAAGACATAGTTAAGTATTTTACTTATTATTGTTATAAAGCATTTAAAGCTTATAAATATGCTACCAAAAAAAACACCACCCACAATAATAAACACCGGAAATATAAATTTTACAATTCTCAATAATGAAATCAAAATATTTCCTGATTTTTGTGATTTTTTTACCATTAAAATTTTTCCTTAGTGACTTTTTCCCTAGCAAAATCTGTGACATTTTCCTGTGACATTTATTTCCGCTCACCGTTTAGCCGCCCTTGCCCTGCCTAGCCGGTTAGCAGTTGTTTAGAGTAAAAGAAATATACAATTATTATACAGTAATATACAGATCTAGATCTAATATATATTTCTACCTTAAACTTACTGATAATGATTTTTTGTTTTTTTTTAACATCAATTTCAAACTTTTCAGTGTCAAGACAGTTACATTTATCTTCATTGCACAATAAAGCCAGGTATGGTCTAAGTTTATTTTCTTTCAAAACAAAATCAAAATAGAAATACATTTTAAACAATGCAGTTTAAACCATCTTTTAACAATGCAGTTTAAAGAATCATCTTTTTATTAAACATTAGCCATGTAAAACCTGCTATATATTCTGTGTAATGTTAAATTTTGTTATTTAGACGACCAGATGTTGCACTTTCACCTAATAATAGTATGATTATGTGTTGGCATCCTGAACCTGAACACCCATACGAGCATACACAAGTAAGTGGTGGTTGCTTTGAGGCAATTTAAAAAAGAAAAATAGATAGGAGTACAGGTACACACAAGTTGCATAAATTCAGCATCCAGTTTTTAATTTTATAAAAGAACAGCAATTACTTCTCATATTTATTTTTATCAAATCATTAAAAAAGGAGTTACACTTAAAGACTGAAAATGTGCTTTAATTGCACCTTGGTTATTCACAATCCATTGTCCTCATTACTTAAGTTATACTAAGCTGATTGCATTTACTAAAAATAAATAGTGCTTTATAATTTTGTTTATGAATACATTGTTTCGGAATTATAGTTAAGATTTTTTATTGTAACATTTAATGAATTATATTTTCTTTTTGCTGTAAATCATTTTGTGTTGAATTACAATAATTACATTATTATAGGATATCTGTAATAATTTTTTAGTCTTTTACAAACCATTTTTTATATTTCAGCCATTACCCAGAGATAAAACAGAACTTGAAATGGTAATAGAAATTTAAAAAATAAATAAGTAAAAGGGAGCAATAATGGGTTATAAATTTTTTGTTGATGACTGAAAAGAAATAAATGACTAATTGTTGAGTTTTTTAAAATTTGCTGTTGTGATGCTATACATATAATATTTTAATTTCTTTATCTAATTTAAATCATTTTTGGAATTAAATTTAATTATGAACTGTATTCTTAAAGATCTATCTTTTAATAAAAGGAATTATCTTTCTCCAGAATGATTCTGTGTTAAAAGTTCAGTATTTACTTGATGAAAAGTTAAAGAACAGACCAGAGGGTCCTACAGTCAATGAACTTGCTCAGCTGTTCCATACAACAAAGCATACGTTTTTTAGACGGTTAGTTCACAGTCATGATTTAATAATAACACCCAATACCTGTAATTATGTCTCCATCATGTTTTTTTTGTAATGATCTGTGCCAAATTAGAAATTTTTAAAAAACATTTTTCTCTTGAATAAGAATTGCTTAATCTATTTCAGGACTCGAATTGAAAAGACTAAAGGGTCCGTCAAATATAGGCCTAAAAACAGAGAGGGGTTATAATTTTGTTTTTTTATTAAACAATTTTTTCATAAAACTGACTTTCTTGTATATTGAATATTTACTCTGATTTCTAATGTTTACTCTGATTTCTAATGTTTACTCTGATTTCTACAAAGTTAGTTGTTCCACCATCTCTTTTTGGAGAGTTTGAGTTGGTTATGTTATTGCAAAAAATGTATATAAACAATTAAAAAAAAATTTTAAGGGCCTTTGGACTAGTGATTGTGTGCTCTAAATCTAATAATCCCCTTTATTTTTTCAATACTTTTTTCTGCGATAATGATCAACCCTGTTGAGGTATAAAAAACCTTTGTAATAAGCTTTTAAATGCTGTAATAATAGATAAACAAATAATTTTCTCAACCTATTATGGTAAAAGTAAAAGAATTTGTCGCTCTAGACATCTCAATACATATTGCTATTATCACTTTTTGTGTAATAGTTACCCCTTAGGACCGGGTGGTCAGTAGAATATGATGTAGAGTTCACCTGTTTCTGCAACTTGGATATATGCAGAGATAATATGGTCTGTTCAATGCTGTAGACTCTAGGCAAGGATCAGGGACTTTACCAGTGATGTATAGATGCATGAGCTCATTTTCTGTCTTCTGTGTCTTCATTGGACCATGCAATAATGCATCAGAAAATAAAGATAGTAAAACTACACTGTAAATTCAGTTTTCAAAAGATTTTAAGGGACCTGGTAAAATGATGAAAAAATGTCAATTAAGATCAGTGGTGCAGATAAAAAATCAGCAAGGGGTATCAGTTTGGGATATAAAAAGCTATTCTTTGCTTTTACATATTTGATTAGCACTCATTTAAATGTAAGCAAATTTAGCATTACATAGTTATTGGTGTATGAGTTTGTCCACTCAGGGTGTGGTCTGTAAAAAAGTACTTGACCAGTCTCTGCTGGGGTGGGTTAGAATTTTAGTATCCCAAGTACAGGGTGCTTTTTATAACAAATGTAGGTGCCATTGTCGGGTACACTACTGCAGATCAGTTGATTCAAGAAATACCCCTGACCACACTGTTTAGGATGCGCAATCAAAGACTATAACTAAAATAGCCGCTAATGAGCCCTAGGTGTCGACCCTCTGATATTTAAATTTTTTAATGGCCGAAACCTTTTCTGGAGTGTACTCAGCAGCCTTACTAAGTTTGATGGTGATCTGAATGAATAGTAGTGTGCATAAGACAGACATACATTTATTTTTATGTACATAGATAACAATCCAATTGTTCTGAGAAACACCACATGATTAAGATATTTGCTCTAAACCCATTAGGTAGCTTGTGATCTAAACTCAACAATTTCTGCTCCTTATTTGTGCCCAACTTGTCTCTGACACTACAATGATTATCTCCTTTTTTTAAAGAACTGAGATAAAATTATAGTGAAAGTTACACTAAATGAAATGCATTCTGTTGTCAACTTAAAAGAAAACACTCCATGATTTGACCACAAAAAGATGAAACAGCTTGCAAGATTTTCATGTTTCAATGCATTTTATTTAAAACTTTTATTTATAACACTAGAGCATTAAGCATTGACATCAAACACTCTAGCATTACATGACATAAGCAAGAAACATGAGTGACCTTTATGTCATGACAACAAAGTATGTACACAACAAACCCCTCCCTTCTCCCTTTATGAAAGTTTGGGACTTACTGCAATGAATTTCCTCCTGAAAAGTTGAGCCAAAGGCATATGTACAATAGAACACAAAATGGTCCAAAATATGGTCCTATTATTTTGAACTAAATTTTTTGAAGATTAAGTTAGCAAATAGGCATGTACTTATGGCAGGATTTTCATCATAACAAAGCAGATGTTTCTTTAGTAATAGTATTTAGAATAGTTAACAAAAGCAAATCAGATTATTCAACGGGCGAGTAGGAAATCTATGTTCATTTAGACAATATAATTGTTACATCACAAACCAATTATTTACAGAAAACTAAAACTTTTCACATGTTTATCAAGCACATTTTAATATATATTTTTAGTTATTTAAATACAACTTTTATTTACAGCAATTGAGTTACTATTTACAAGTAAAGATCAAAACAAGATTTATCAGCACTATAGTCAGTTTCTTTCAACAGTTGGGTTAAACATTTAACAGAAATTAGCAATGTTTACATCAATGTTGATCTGTAGAGGGGAACCGCACAGCTGACAAAACCTAACTGGAAAAATATGGCAAAAGGTTTACTATTACAAACTCTATGATTTGGTTTCATTACTTATTTTATGAACTTTGTAACCTAGTTCAACTCGATATTTATTTTAACTACTACTAAACACTATGAAAGCTGAAAAGGGGTATTTTGTAAAAGAAGAAATTGCGTCACAAACTGGTTTGGTTAACAAGCATACATAGGAGTTAACCATCAAATGTGATTTGACGCAGTTGGAAATTCACATTATGCCACCTATTAGAGTCCCTGAATAATACAACATCAGTAGAGACCTAAATCAAGCTAATTAAAAATTAGATTCTGTAGATTATAATACTCAGTGAATGTCTGGATTGGCTCAAATTTAGTTTAGATATAGGCCTAATCCGATAGTTGATTCAAAGCATGACTAACGCAAGTATGGTAAACAATAGGTAGAATCATGTATCCACAATTAATTGTGATAATTCTTTACTTCATAGGGCTATTGGAAGGAGCCGTGAGATCATCTTAGCAGTCAAAATAAATCACTCATCTAGCAAAAAAACTTTTAAGATGTGTACAGTAATATAAGAGAAACATGTATTAAGCAGATAATTAAAAAATGTTAAAATATTTTGGAAATTAATTCATAAAAAAGTATATGGTTGTATTCACTAAAGTACTGAGTGGCAGAAAGTGATTTTAGAGTCTTGAACTAGAAGTTGTGCAGATGATACTAATTATTAAATACTCACAAAGGTAATCTCATAAAACCCTTAAATGCATAACTAGTAGTGTACATATTTTTTTTACTGTTAATTATAGCATTTAAAAAAGTTTACACTTAATTCAAGATCATAATACCAAAAACAGCTATACATAATGTTAAAATATAATGTTTTATTTAGCAAAGACGGAATGATTCGTAGTGAGAAAATTTTCTGGCAGTAGTTTCAGAAGGTAAACGCGTGAAACTGATTTTGTTGCTTGCTGTTCTCTGGTTAAAATGACCATGCGCTTAGAGAATTTTAACATAAAAGCACAGAGTATGGCAATATATTCATCTTATACTGCACACAAACCAGTGATTGGGAAAAAAAAGAGTATAAACAAAGTTAAACAAGATAAAACAACATAGGAAACTACAATAGTCAATTTATAGAGTTTAGGCTTACAATTTTTAAAATTGAACAATACTACACTATAGGCCTTAATGAATGATTCTAGAAGATTTTAAATGAATGACTTGTACTTATAGAGTGCTACTACTTATTTTGTGGCAAGAATCATGAAACAAATATGTAAACAATAGACTACTAAAATAATATATCTAAATGCGTAAATTGACCAAATAGCTAGAGACATCAGCTCATACCATTTTAGATCTGGTTCAGTTTATAGTACAAAATTTACATTCAGCTAGTTACAGCTTAGTACCTGCTTCTATTTTCTGGGTAGCGTGATGAAGATGCTGCTGATGAGGATGGTGCTGCCTTGTTACTCTTTCCACTAGAGCTTTGAAGATTATGTCTGTGCATTACTGATGATGATGATGTGGATGAGCTTGGAGATGGTCGATGGTGTGGTCTTGGAGGGGGTGGAGGTGGTGGTGGATGATCTTCTGGAACTGTATTGCCACTTACAATTGTCTGAGAAAGTAGAGGCGGTCTAAAGGAAAGGTGATTCACTGACAAAGCTGGAGATGAAGATGTGGGTCCTTGGGTAGCAGTCCATGAAATTGTATGAGGCTGCTGAGAGTTTGAGGCGCTTAAATGGCAAGAAGAAGAGGGGGCTTGTTGCGGTGTATGATTTGATAGAGTTGCAGTAACCAGTCCTGGATAAACCAATCCTTCTCTTCCCGGTGTTACGACAGGTGGAGGGGTTGAAGTTGATGAAATGCTTGGCTGCTGATGGTAGTTGTAACTTGTGCTTGGGCCACCATTTACAATGGATGTCTGTGTAGCTGCAAGATTTGCAATTGAAAGTTCGTTTAAATGTATATTACCTTCATTATTAATATGGTTTGGAAAAGATGCTAAAAATAAATGAATAACCAGTGCTTAAGTGTAAAAAAAAATCTCTTTGCAATTACAAAAACAAGTTAAAAAGGGTTAAAATGCAAGATCTATGCTTTTATATTTTTATAACCTTTACCAAGAAATCCTGGTCTTGAGTGGGATGAAGATGCAACAAAGCTAGCTGATGCATAAGCTGGCTGAGAAGGAGGAGGTGGGGGTGGCAAGGAGTCATCTCTACCTCCATTTGATGAAGCAACCTCTGAGTCATCTAAAATATTGCAAGAAAAGTGAAAAACTGTAAAAAAAATATTTCTTCTTTACCTCTGCTGTTTTTAAGGGAATAAAAAAGAAAATTGTATATGTAACAGAATGAACACACTTTGATGTTGAAAGTGAAAGAATGTGAATCCACTATTACTTAATTCTTAAGTACCTGATTTCTTTTTTTGTTCCTCTGTGCAGTCTTCAAGACCGAACTCCAAGCGAAGCCTTTCAGTTAGACTTAGCTGTTTCTCGACTTTTGGAATGGGTTTCTTTTTGTCATCTGATAATGCAACAAATAAAGCATTTGGGTTCAGACAAATTGTATAAAAGACACTGATTAATGGGCAACATTAAATTTCACAAGTTTAACAAATCTTATACTTTATAGATCATACCTTTCCTTCTATCAGTTGAACGAAACAGTGGTAATGTTGCAAGGGTAGGCATTTTCTGAGTGTTACTTGAAAGAAATGACTTGGATGGTGATGTGGATGATGTGGCTGTGTGAGATGAGGACATCTTGTACTGATGTGATGTTGTTTCTGGTGTTTTTGTTTCTACACTTGTTGAAGCAGGCTTTTCCTTTAATCTTTTGCGGTATTCTAAAAGACTGACCTATAGAAGCAAAAAAAAAAAAAAAGGATCAAGTTTACCATTGTCATTAAATTTTAATTTCAGCAGAATAGAAGTTTTAGGTATTTTATTCCACCATGTCTTGTGTAGTAAGGGTTGCCTAATATGTTACTATGTAGAAGGTCACTTCCATTTTAGTGAGTTAACTCTAACACATACCACCAAGGCTTCCTGGCTAGTCCTGTTGTCAACTTGCAGTGAAAATAAGTAGAGGTCAGCATGATGGAGAAAGATCTAATTCTGTGACATAACAATTTCAGCACCATAATACAATTTCCAAAAGATTCCATTTTATATTTTATTTCCAGCAAGAGAAAATTGTAGCCTCATCAGTACAAGGCAGGTGATACATAGTTACAAATGCATTAGGAATAAAGGGAATATAATCTACACAAATGCCAGAAATCCACCAGGATCAAAGCATTTTTTTTTTAAAATCTAAAATTTCCACAACGTGCATAACCTATAATGTAAGAAAAAGGTATGGGGAACCGGTACAAAGTAGATTTTGTGACAGTCAAGGAATAGCTATTAGACTCGATGCTGAAATGAAAATGGCACAAAAATAATAAAGTTTTCTTTTTACAATTACCTTTTTTTTCACAGCAGGAGTTGCTTCTGCTGTTGAAGAAATAGGCGGAGAGCTTGTCACAGGTACATGATTGGAGCTTGATGCTCTCATAATTGTTGGCGAGGCAGTGGACAAGTTGGGCGATGTGGAACTTAAAGCACTTTCATTAACGAAGACTGATGGCGGTGAAGATAGAAGTGATGAGGACGACGGTGATAAAGTGAAAGATCGTGGAGTAGGAGTGCTGCTTAGTACATGACAACTGGGAACAGTACTGTTGGTTGTAAGAGTTATATTTACATCTGTAGAAGCAGAAGATGTGGGCTGTGCTTCTAAACTCAGGTTAGATTGTTCATCGACAGTTAACTGATTGGACCTTTCCTGGTTGCTGGATACACTTTGTGATACCCCTGAATTGTAATCATGAGTCACTGTTGAAACAGCATTGTCTGGGAAAGCTTCCATTTGAAGGTCCTTTTGCCTACCGTAGCTTTCCCACGCACTGTTACCCATTTGTGAATCCAAACCATTTGAAGAAGAAACACCTAAACCTTCCATAGAGGACTCATCCCCAGTAACTGAATTTTCACACATGCCCTCCGCACTGGGTAATCTTTCATAGTTACTGTCACAGCCACCATCCAGGATTGCTGTGTCTATATTACCTGTGTCCACAGTTAAAGTATGAAAAATTGGTCTGCGAATAGCTTCCCTGTGTGTCTCTGAACTTGTTGAGTCAACATTGTTATCAACAGCATTGTTGAAAAAAGAGGGCTGTCCATTACAGTGTGACTCAGAGACAGCAGTATCACTTGTTTCCTCTTCAATGTCATTACTTTCATTCATACTACTAGTAGATGGATGATTGGATACTGAATTTATTCCCATGGAGTCACAACTCCTCAACTGCACATTATCACTGCTATTCTCATCAGGATCATCATGCATGCTACTGTCTTCAACATTTATGCTGTTGGAATCACAATGTCTGTTATTAACACTTTCCATATTTTGTTCAGATTCCTCAAAAGAATCACACATCGGCTCCTCTGACACAGATTCTACCAAAGTCGAGCTGGTCTGACCACTTGAACTAATACACTCCGCATCAAGCCTAGAACCAACTGAAGTGCCAAGCATACTTGAAGGATTTATTGAGTTCCTTTCTTCAAATACTGCTGAAAACTGTCCTAACACATTTCTATTTACATGCTGAGAACTATCTACAACTTCACCTTCTGTGTGACTTAAGTTCAAAGTTCTTTGGATGTCATTCTCACTTACATGCACACTCGCAGAGTCAGTGCAGACATTATCACAGATTTCACTATTATGGCCGGTCAAAGGTTCAACAATATCTTCAGAACTATTTACCTGACATTCCCCTTGAGTTATGAAGCTCAGCCTGTCTTGACTACTAGCAAAAAATCTATTGTTGAGATTAACAACAGCAGTGCTATCAGTTAATGAAGTTGGTTCCATTTCATGAGCATTTAAATCAACACGAACAGTTGCTGGACTGTCTTCATCCATTATTGTCTTGGCTGTAACACAGCCAGCCTCACTTCCCTCATCTATTAGATTATTTACACCATTGTACACACCACTGCTATTTACAACAACAACTGTAGATGCGGAGCTATCAATTCTGGTATCCTCTTCAATACTTTTATACAGGGGCTGCAACAAATCAAGTCCATTGTTTTCTATTCTAGATGTTGAGGCTATTGGTTGAATTTCTCGCTCATTTGGCGGCTCATTACTGCTGTCTACTTCCATTCTTTCAAAAATACCTCTAAATTTAAGAGGGTATTTTGTGTTTGGTTTAGGCTGAGTGAATGGCAATGACACAGAAGAGATTGGCACTGCCTCAGACATACCATTAGCCCAAGTTAAGGAAACTGGTACAGGTAGCATTGTGTCCAGATCAGGAAATGACTCAACTCTTTGGTCTGTGTTCACAGTGGGCAAATTGTTTTCAAGGAGGGCTGATGACAAAGCACATTGTGAGGATGAGGCAGTGCATGACTTCTTTCCATCGTTCAGAGTAACTGCTTCTTTAAAGCCATTTTGATGAGGGTAGCCTTTATGTAACAACAATCTCTGCAGAATCCCAACAGGAAAAAAGAGAAAAAAAAGAACAATAGAAAATAATTAAAACTCAATTTGCAAACAAAAATAAATAACATAGGAATTTTTTACACAACTTTAAAAATTTAAATACTATGAAACTGGAAATAAAAGAGATTACATTAAACTTGATTTCATTGAATAGGTAAGCCTTTATTTACTCAGAGACACAAGGCAAGATTCAAGCATACACATCTACTCAGCCTTTTCACTACTTACAAGCACTCAACCCCATTCCCATTTCACAACCTTTAGAAAATAATGAACATATGTACAAACTATTTACAATATTTAATTTACACCCCATCCCCCACCCTCCCCTCCCCCCAAAAAATATCAATGCCAATATTTCAGTTCATCTATACTTCTAGATTCATTTTCTGAGATAAGAGGGCTCCTTACATCATCTACACTGTGACGGTGCGCTGGGAAAATCTGTTTCACTCCATTTGTTTTTGAAGTGATGCCAATGTTATTGGAAGCAAAGCTCTCTGATAAGATGCCAGGACTAGGTGAAGGCCCGTTACTTTCAATTGAAAGTGATTCCCTCATTAACCTTCGCTTTTTAAGTGGTGTCACAAAGTCTGTAATAAATACAATTTCTCAAAATTAAAGATCAGCTGAAAAATATGCACATGGAGGTAAAATAACTCCCATCATAGGTATAGAGTAACTTATTTTGCTGTATTCCATATTAATAAAAGGTGATCAGGCTCTAGACCAATACTAGCTATGGAGCCACAAAAATTATAGCAATTAACCTCTTATACACACCTAAAGGAGATGCTGCCCCAGGACTTCCCAACCCTGTTCCAGGATTTGGACTTGAACTACCATGAATTGGGGAGGCTCCGCCACTATCTGTGCTTACGGACAGGCCATGGTTTAAAATGAATGGTGTTGGAACTTCATGCATTGCTTGGCGCAGCCACCGCTTTTAGAGAAAGAAATTCATTTTAATTACATTTTTCAGTTAACACAGAAACACACATTCCAAGAAAATTTAGGCTTAAAAAATACCTTTTTTGCTGAACCAGCACTCGATTCTGCACCTTTGCTATTGCAGCCAGCACTACTGGAATTTCTTCGTTGTAGATGTTCCATTGTATTTACATGTGGATTAGGTAAACAATGAACAAACATTTCTTCTTCATTTTTGTTTGTTTCATCTTCTTGTTTATTTGTCCACTCATCATAAAGGTGCTGAAAAAAATGGATAACAGAATTAAATCACTATCTTAGAAAATTGGACAAAACATTTACTTCTTAGTAGGCTACTTTCAACAAATCTGTTTTGATAAATCTTAACAATAAACCATAACAAGCAAGTATAAAGCAAGCATGAAAATGAATAAAACAACATCATTACATTGCTTTGTGGTAAATGAACACTATACCTAATATACACTTTTGCTCCATACCTTTTTTGTCTTTATAAATTTGAAAACACCTCCATCAGGTTCTGAATTGGGATTGTTCATAGGGCAAGGAGTAATTGGAACAGGCACTGATAATGGAGCTGGTGGAAAGCTGCTGTTACTGTTTCCTTCATCTGTTGATATTGATGCAGCATCAGAGATAACCGCTGTGCTCTGCACTCTACTTCTTCTGTATGAGGCAAATTTTTTTTGGGTTTAAGTCAGTGTCAATGTTGGTAATTGCACTTATTCATTTTTTAATACTATTTTAGTACTAAGGGACAATTTACTCACCTTCTTTTTCTTTTCCCAGCCTTTCTAACAGGCTTGGGCGGGAGCTCTTCTTTGAGTGGCTTATCTTGCATAGAAGTGAGAACTGCTGAAGAGAAATAGCTTGTGGTATTTGCACTACTGGCTGGAGGAGTACCAGTAGCAGGACTTTCAGGTTTAACATCCGTACAAGATTCTGGAGATTTTATTTCAGGATTTTCCTCATTTGGCTCAGTTTTGGGATCTGTATCAGAAGGGCTGTCTTGGGAAGTACAACGAGAATGTGTGCTACCACTGCTGTTTTGTCCATCATTTTCCTTTAAGAATATAATAGAATTAATTGCATCGTTAGTTTATTTGTGATTCTATTGACAAGTGTTTGAAATTTTAATACCAGTAAATTACAAACCTTTTTAGGCTTTGTTTCTGAACATTTCTTAGTTCCTATTTCTCCTCTTGCCAATGCTTCTTTTCTTCTTTCTTCACGTTTTTCCATTTTTTCAAATGCTTTCATAATAGCATCCAGTTTTCTTTCCTCTCGTGTCTAAAAAAAGTGTTATGAAAACAGAAGTGTTAAAAATCTAATTAAATACTACTTGACTTAAAACTAAATAATAGTTTTTGAAAAACTTTTTAACAAACCATTTTTCTAGGACATTCAAACCCAGTGTTGGAGTCTTCAGATTCATTTCCAGCAGAAGCAGAAGATTCAAGCTTGGGATCTACTGTATCTTCAAGTTCATCTAAACTTTGCCTCCGTGAAGATGGGCGCCTCTCCCTTTTTATTTCTGGATGATGATAATGATGGTCTTTGCTTTCTTTATCTTTTGTTTTAGACTAAAAAAAAACATCCCATTAGTTGAATATTCTTAAAAGGTTATTACTTTAGGATAACAATTACAAATAGTTTCAACCAGATTGTTGAAAGAATTATGCAAAAAAGTAAATATTCTATTAAGGATTTAAAAATATCTGCTCTATGCTTGATAAAATTTCAATTATAAGTTTCATTAATGTCAGTTTGAAAACAGATTGAAAAATTATTAAGGCTGACTTTTTAAAAAAAAAACAATAATTATCAAAAGTAAAATGCTTTTTTTCTTCTTCAAAAACCTAGTATAATTTAAGCTAAAAAAAAAGATGAAAATGTAACAAACCTCCTTTATTTTAACATGCTTTTCTTTCATCTGGGAGAGAGCTATTGGTTCTACTTTCTCTTCTTTGAATGTCTCTTCAATGAGACGGCTTCCTCTTCTTTGCGTTGCCACTGGCTTTGGTGGTGGGGGAGGTGGAGCTGGGGGTGGTGGTGCTTGCTGCTGTAAATTAAGTGTTATATTACTACAAGTAAGCAAAATAATAGAAGAGCAAGATAAATCAAACAAAAAAAGGATGATTCTACATGTTAAAAAAAAAGAATATGAAAGTAACCTGTAATGATTCAGGAACCTCAAGCTTAAGACTGGATGCAATATCAGGCTGTTCATCAAGAAGGGCTGAAGCAGCCAAGAGAGTGGATACGTTTGAAAGTTTAATAGGGCTACTTAATCTAGGAGGACTGGAAGATGTAGCTAATTTCATCTGCAATGCTTTCACTGGTGACGATAATACTCTACTTGGACTGGTATGAGAAGAACTTGAGTTAGAAGTGTCATTAGAACAATCTCTGCTTGCATCACCACCAGTTAGCTGTTTCTTGCGTTTCAAAGTAAACTCTTTTGTTGAAGACCTATTCAATATAGAAAACGATTGATGATTGAGTTTTTTCTAATAAACCTGTTAAATTGAGTTTGAGCAATGGTGAATTGAAGTTTGTAATCTAATGACTGATTAAACACAACTCACTTGTAAGCGTTTTTCTGTTTTTTCCAATATTTTGTAACAGCACAATTGTTTTTCATGCAAGCACATTCCACACAATATGAACTGAGGATACAAAAATGTTATTTGTTGAAAACATGCCATTTTAAATACATTTATTGTAACTTAGTAAGCAAGGGATCCTAACAAACCAATCTATTCAGCAGAGGGACTTCAAATGTCTCTCTACACACTGTATAAGATTAGCATTAACTCTTCCAATGTAAATGTCAGGTAGTTACCAGAGTTGGATGGATTCATAGGAAACCTTAAGGACTAGAACCAGGAACACAAGTCCCAATTAAGGTTAATGGCTCTACCACTTCATTATCCAACCCATTATTATCATTCATAAAAAAAAGTCAGTTATTTAAATGTAGGCTTATTTCTAGTACTAAAAAGTGAAAATTGGCAAGAAAAAACCATGTAAGTGTATTTAAAGTCAAGTGTCAAAATACTGATCTTACCAATCTTGATAGTTGTAATCAAATGGAATAGTAATTTCATCTCCAGCTGAAATATCTCTTAGAGACACAATCACAAAATAAACCTTCCCTTGTGTAAAAATATGCTTAACCTGTGGGTAAAAAACAGCATTATAATTAATAACGTTCTAATGTTATATTTATTGCTCTGTCATAGAATACATAAAAAGTAATATTTTTGTTTCAGTCATAATCAAATACTTTCACTAATATTAAATATTTCTACTGATATTGCAGGTTGATATTTTAACCCCATATTTAACACTAGTCCCAGGCTACCCTTGATGGTTAAAGTTGTTATCAGCATTACTTGCTCTACAATTATGCATGGCTTGTAGGACAAGAATTTTTTTCTTACAGTTAATTATCTGAACCTACTCATTTCAAAGACTAAACATATGAAGCTATATAATGAAAATAACTAGAGCAAAAATAGACAAAATGTAACCTCTGCATTTGGGGAACATGATCTACGGATGAAACGAGCTTCATTGCCAAATATTCTGGCATCAACACAGAGATCAACATCCAATTTAGAATAAAAAAGTACAAATGGTTGAAGTCTGAAGAGAAAAAAAAATATATATAGATATTTTTAACTCATAATAATAAAAAAAATTCAAACCTCTACATGGGAAACTAATACTCTTTTAGATAGTTAAAGAAGAATAATTATTTACTTTTTAAAAGAATTAACAAAAGCATATTCTTTATCATAATCGTGACGAAGCATGACTCTGCCTTTGTACTCAATAACCACCTGGCCGGCAGGGATCTCTTGTGTTGCTTTCAAACCCTTAATCAAAGGACAAAAATAAATTACTTAGAACATTATTTATTTTATTACAATCATCTTGATTGTGTTTAATAAATTATTTTTAAACATATACCTAGCCTAATTATGGCTCTTCAATTCAAAGAATTATTTTAGTAAGGCAAAAGCATGTACATATTAGTTACAAATGTATTATAATCAACTTTATTCTAATCAATTCATAATTACTTTTATAAATTACTTGAAATATATAACAGAACAGTTTCAAATACATAAAATAAAAAAATATACCTTTCTGTTTTTTCTAACATCAGCTACAGAAACACAAGTTAGTTGTGATAACATATGATCAGGCATTATGGATGATATATCCACCTGTAAAAAACATACATATATATATTAAGAATATATTTTCCAATGGACTCTTTTTATAAGGATTCACATATTTTTTAAAGAACAAATTTCCCTCTAATTTGCCTCGCATTTTACCACAATATAATGCTAAATATCAACACATCATTCACAACCAGAGCGGATCTTCATAATTTAGTGTTGTGAAGATAATAACCAAAAGTTACTTAGAAAAATAAACAAGAGCTGGACGTTCCATACTTTTATAGTTAGAAGCATATTAATATCATAATTTTTTCAATAAATAACTTTTGAGATTTTTCATAAATATGTGAAAGGAGTTGTCAATTATGATGTGATTTAGCCAGTTAATCAATTTTTATTACTGCTCTCTTAACTTCACATAAAGCTTCATAAAGTAACCAGAAGTCTAATTGTAATTAAAGAAGGGAACAAAATTTTCACCAAATTAAAAAAAAAAAAAACACATGCTACTGACTGCATTATCATAAGCAGTTTTAAAAAATGCATATCTGCTGGTGACACTATTCATAACATTGGCATCTGGATGAACACCATAAAGCAAGAAAAATGTTAAAGATAGTCCATTTTATTCTTCAAATTTATTATAATATTGTACCTCCTCAGTAGCGAAAACCTTTTCCCATTGAATTCCCAATGGAAAATTTACTTTTAAATTTCCTCTTGCTTCAAGTATTCCTGGCTTTACTCACGTGAGCGATTTTTAAAAATATATTTCAAGATTTAATAAGAAAAGGCATATCTTACTGAGTGACCAATGAGATGAGAGTTACAAGAAAACTCTTTAACAGCCGGACTGTACTGGTTCTCATGTGCATGTTCATATGAATCAACCCAAGGGCTGGAATATTGGAAAATCATTATCAAATAGTGAATAAAAATTAAACATAAGGAAAACATGCAAATGCAAAGATTGGCTAAATAGCACAAATAAAAACAACCATTACCTTAAATTACTATTCCATGGATCTGCATTCAATTGCTCTAGTGTCAGTAATGGCCTGTTTTTTAATTTCCCCAGTTTTATTTTTTGAGAGCCTTGCTTGAATAACTAGAAAGTAAATTTTAAAAAAAATTTCAGCATTCTTGGCACAACAGTAAGTTTTAAAATTAAAAAAATATAATATTTAAATTACCTTTTTTTGCTTTGATGCTTTGATATTTTCTTTTTCTTTTTTCCCTGCTTTTTTCACCTTTTTCTGTGAAAGTGGTTTGCCTATTTTCAGTTTCAATGGAGGTTTGTCCTTAACTTTTGAAGCTCGCTTGTGTTTTAAACTTTTTTTCTTTCCAGAAGGAAGTTTCCGTCCCATAGAAGCCAGAGCATTTGCAGGTTCTTCAGGATCTGTATCAGTAGCACTTGAATCCGACAAGACATTACGGGCTAAAAAAAAAGGAATAAAGTTAAAAATCATGTTTAGTTGAAAATCTAATGCTTGAAAAAGAGCATCCTAAAACATTTTTTTAATTAAAAAAAACAAAAACCCCACTTTTTACTTTCTCTTATACACAGTATAGAAGAAGTATTGTTATTGTGCAAAAAAAAAATCTTGACGTTTTACACCTCCATGAGTCGCAAAAACATAGTTTTGCAATTTTGTCCATATGTCTGTGAACACAATAATTTGAGTACAGTTACATCTAGGTTGATGAAATGTAAGTATTAGATCAAATTTGTAGTTCTGTATTAACTTTTCAGAGATTTCCAGTGGAACTTATTCTACTTTTGGTTTTTCAAAAACCTATAATTTGAGTACTTTTTCAGATAGACGAAATTTCACACATAAGTAAAAGATCCGATTCTCTGCCTTTTGTCAAATTTTGAGTTATTTCAGTTTACAGAAAGTAGTACTTAACTTTCGATTTCTCAAAAAACGCATAATTATCCATTACTTATATTCCGCACTATTATAGACATTGCAAGTATTTAAAATATGATTAAAAATCATGTCTATATTCAGAGCTGCCATCCCCCATAGTCTTATATAAGAACATTTGAGAAAGTTTAGGGGAGATCACTCCTACTATATTTATGCTAGAAGTATTTCTTAAAAATTTCTATTCTCTTTTGTAATATGAGGCTAGCAGGCTGGAACATTACTCTTAAGATCGGCAGATATTAGGTTAAGTTCTCTTTTCGAACCTGACAGCCCATGGGGCAAGTAGAGTTCATCTGTTTCTGTGACCTCTGCATATGAAGGGATAGTGCGGTTAATACTATGCCAAGCCACCTTTACTTTCCCTAATGTAAGTTAGGTGCCCATCAGAGCTGGGTAGATTCAGGGATGTTCTACTGACAAACTCAGATTCAAACAGTTGACAGTCTAGCGGAAAACACCAAAGCAATGTAGAAATAAGCAGTTTAATTTCCACAAGTCGTTATCTTCATGCCCAATGTATTGCACAATCTAGTTAAACTTGAAGGTCAGCTGTGGAGGGACCTATTATGGAGTGTGACTTAAACAACAAACATACTTTTGTGTTAAAAGGGCTCACTGCCCAACACTGTTTACTATATTTAATATACATACCTGCCAGCTCTTCCCTCTTTCTTTTTTGCAGAGTTTTCGCCTTCATAGCATCTAAAATTCTAGGCTGACAAATCTCACAAAAGTAGCTTTCAGGGATGTTATTTCTGTCAACACCCATACAATCTATATGCTGCCAAACACTAAATTAGAGGACATTAAAGAAAATAAATAATGGGGTTGGAAAGTTGAGTGACAAATATACCCTAAAATAGCAAGCATAACATAAATTATTTTTAGGATTTAAACAGTTTGAATTAAATTGAAGATAATTTATAAATACAGCTGCTACATACCTGCATTTGTCACAACAAATCATGTAACCATCATCATGCAGATAACCACAGATACATCGTGTGATACTATCTTCCACAACTTCTTCTGCAACAGATACAGGGAGACTTGTTTTAACCTCTTCTTCAAGCTGAACAACACCATTAACCTGAAGAGGTGATGGTGGCCTAGGCGAAACTGGTCGGGGAGGAGATGGAGGTGGTGGCATCCCATAATTATGATCCTATTTAAAAAAAAATTAAATTATCATTACAAAATATTTTCAATCTCAAATAAGGAAATATAATGCTATTTTATAACAAAAATAATGCTAAAATAACAGCAGGTAGTACTTCTTCAATTCCAATAACTTGGCTAAAATCTACTGTCCATGAAAAAGTAGTGTATATATCTACTGGATTCCCATTTACGTTACTAGTCAACTAGCATTAAAAATGTTATGATTGACAGTATACATACTATCAAACTCACTGTGCATCAATGGTAATTGAAATGCGGATTTAGCAGAGAGATTTTTCCTCCCAAAAAAAGAAAGATTTTTTAGTCTGTAGTTTGAATACTTTCATTATGAAAGTAATCAGATTACTTAAAGAACAAGTCTTAATCTTACATTTTTAAGCACAACAGGATGCTCTGGGAGCATTACACACACTCTGCTTATATATATATATATATATATATATAAAAACGGAACACACTTAACAAGGTTATATAGAAATATGATATACCAAATACCTGATAAGGAAGACCAAAATAGCTAAAGCTATTAAGAGCATGCGTGCTGGAGGGTGGGAGAGGTCTTTGGTAAGTGTGTTCAGGCAGTGGAATATCAAGAACATCAGCACTGTAGATATGCATAACATAAATAAATATATTTAAAGTATATATATATTATATATATATATATCTATATCATACATTTACATATAAACACAAATATAATAAAATAAACACACCAAACATATTGCCTATAAGGCAAAAATCGGCATGAAAAAAATATGATGAAGTCACATTTTTACTTTCTCGTATATACGAAGAATAAAGAAAGTCGTGTAATCGTGCAAAAAAAATCTCACTGATACGGAAAAACATAATTTTGCAATCACTGATACGGAAAAACATAATTTTGCAATCTTGTCCGTATGTCTGTGTGTGTGTGTCCGTGTGTAAACACGATAACTTGAGTACCGTTACAGCTAGGTTGATGAAATTTCATATATAAGTATTTTATCAAAATCGTAGATGCGTATCAACTTTTGAGCGATTTCCGATAACCGGAAGTGGTATTTTTTCTACTTTGAATTTTTCAAAAGCCTATAACTTGAGTACTATTTCAGATAGATAAATGAAATTTGATATGTAAGTAAAAGATCTAATTCTCTACCTTGTGTCAAATTTTGAGTAATTTCCGTTGACCGGAAGTACTTATTTACGCTATTTCCGATTTCTCAAAAAAACGCATGTAAATTTATAAAGTACTAATAATATTGCGCACTATTATGCACATCTTTATTTAGCGTTCACTTGGTGTGCATTTCTTTTTTCTACGAGACTATATTCTATTTTTAAAAAATTTGAGTATTTAAAATGGATTAAAAATCATGTCTAGAAGTCTATATCCCGAGTTGCCATCCCCCGTAGTGTTATATTAGAATATTCGAGAAAGTTTAGGGGAGATCACTCCCGGTTTATTAATTCAAAAATCAATTTGAATCAAAATGTGTAGTTTAGTTTAGTTTTTTTTTAAAATGTGATAAATATTAAAATAAAAATGGTTGCTATACTTTTTTAATTAAAAAAACCAGGACAATGAGGAAAATACGTCTAACCTTAAAAAGGAGTTTGATTTAATGTTAAGGCATGGACTAAAAGTGAAATTTCATGTTGTACGCATACGTTTTAATATTTAAAATTCGGATGTTGTTGTATTTTTTTAATAGCGTGTTGGTTGTTTCCCACATTGGTCAATATTATTATTATTAGGTAACCTGTCACACCACTTCATGTTTTGCTGTGATTCTGCACTATTAAAAAGCTCCTATGATTCTAAGGAGAAAAAAATTAAGCCCCAGGAAAAGACAGGAGAAAAAAATCTAACAATTTTTCCTAAATGGATTGTTGAAGTGTTTAAAAAATACAAATTTAAGAGAAAAATATATATACCATTTATATATTATTAAATACATTATATAACTCAAATTATTTTCAATTTTTATTCAAAATGCAAAAATTAGATGCAATAATATGCATAATATGATATAATATAATATAAATTAGCATAAACATTTAAGCTCTTTGTTAATATGTGGCCTGAATTAAGTAGGCTTTTAAAATTTGTATTCTGTGTTTAAATCAACCTAACTAGTTTGCATTTACTGTGTTTTTATTCTGACTTAGAGTTAGCGTAATTAATGATTTTCTGTCCCCAACTCATAATCATATAAACATTTTAACCACATTTACCATGCTCAATGTAATTTATTGTAATAGGATCAAGACAGAAAGCTGACACGGTACAAGGGCTGATGTGGATGCAGAATGTCAACAATACATGATATGGATGGACAAAGCAGACCAAGGAAAAGCCTATGGCAATAACCATACAAAATACAAAAATAATATGTTAAATGTATGCTTTTATTTGTAAAGCTACTTTTAAAAATTATTTTTGCATTACAAAATTTGAGGTTGTTATGTATAATATCTTACTGATTTTTTAAAAAGCTTTTAATGTCCATCCATCCATCTATATATATATCACCCATATGAACTGACAAAAGATTTTACTATCAACAAGTAAATTGATATAGATTTTATGACTCTTCCTTTGACTCCTACACCCACATTGCAGTTCTTTGAGATGGGTTAGGGGCAGAGGAGAGAGACTGTCAATAGGTGAGAAAGAAAACCTATGCAATTTGGGATATGGCCAAACTCTAAAAAAAAGTGCTGCAAATTGTTCACCCCATCAAAACTCATATATGTCTGGTTTATATGTACCTTATTCAGTGTTTTCAAACTTTGAAAGGATATGAATTTCAAACTTTGAAAGGATATGAATTAAGATTAGAGGTTAACTGATAACTTAATGCAATTATTGCCCATTAGTAAAAATTGACTATGTAAAATATATAAAAGTTTTACTCTGTGTATGATGAAGATGCCTCATCTCCACTGCCATAATGTGACTCTTGGCCCCCACTGTTTTTAACAGCTCCAACTCTCAAAGTGACACTCATCGCGATGGTACCAGCTGAGTTCGTGGACTGGTTACATCCACTTTAGTGATATGAACTGCTTCCAACATGGCAGAAAACACAATTTCACCTAAAAGAAACAGAAATTGCTGATACAAAAAAGAGGAAAGAGTTGCATATTCAGATTTTTTATTTAAACAGAACCAAAATTTACTGTAATTTATTTGCTAACTGAATTAAAGATTTTTGTGTGGTTATACGTGCAGACCACACTATTCCTTCTTGCACTACGTCAGGAAATCTGAATGGGTAATTTCATTTTTAATTCAGCTATATAACTACATATTTTCTACTTTCAATGATGAATATCTAGATCATGAAAGATGATAGGCAACTTTTATAGTCTTGTGGCAGATGTAGATTGTTATGCATGCATTCATGTAGATATCAGAGCTTTTATTGCTACCTACTAAAATGAAATGTTTTAATTCTTTGTTATTACTTCTGCTAGGTATTACCCTTTAAAAAAACAACAACAAACAAACAAAACAAACAGGGGCTTGTAGAAATGTGTAAAAACAAAGGATATTCAGACATATTACAAGAAACGGTTTTGTTCTTTATACAAACCTAAGATGGTTTCTACTATTTCACTGTTGGTCAAACATGTTACAATGGGCACGCAACTTTATTAATTATTTAAAGGAAAATGGTGTAGCCATGGTGATCACAATTCAACAATAGATCTAAAAAAAAATGCATACAAAACATTTTAATAACAAGCTTTAATGTAATACTCATAATGCACTAAAAAGGAAAAAAATAAATGTTTTTTTAAAAATATATTATAAAACTTCTATTTAAATGACTAAATAGAAAAGCGTGGGTCGCTATAGTATGAATTTGATTCTTTACTAATATTTAAGAAGCGACCAACGCTTTTCTTTATAGTTATTTTAATAGTAGAGTTTTAAACTATAATTCAAGAAAATCATTTATTTACTCCTTTTTAGTGCATTATTACATGAAAACTTGTTATTAAAATGTTTTTTTAATGCAATTTTTTTAATACTTTAAATTTTAAAAAATACAATAAAGTTGCATGACTAAAAACTTTTGCAAAAACCTATTGAACATGATAAAACGTGTATTATGATAGTGCGGAATAGTTGGATAAGACTACCTACAAATTTAAGAAAATTTTAATTAATGCAGAAAAACTTAATTAGTCATCCTTTTAAGTCAAATTATAATGTCATATTGCATTATAATCGGGTCCAAATCCATGTGCCTAATTTCAAATGGTGCATTACCATACTTTGTGACTCCCCTCATTACCAACACCCACTTCTCTAAGAGTGATGTTATTTATGGATGACCCTTTCTTCTTCTTTCTTAAAATACACACACAGGTTTACAATTATTATTTTAAGTAAGTATTTATTCGAACTTAACAAATATATTTTTTATTTATACAATTTAATATCTAATGAGTCATTAATCTCTGTTACTTAGTAAATTAGTTAAAGCTAGTTGTTAGAAATTTGAGTTAATGTTATTACAAGTCTTTTATTATTTCTAGAAACTATTGATGCAATTTAACAAATCTATACATGAATGAAAATAGTAAATAAAACATAAGAAAAGCCAGTTTATAAGCATTAGCATTTGCTGGAAAGTAGTATTTTAATTCCAAGTCAATTGTGCTTAAAATCAGCTGAACTAAATTAGTACATACTGATTCTAAATTGAACTTGTTGATGTCAACAATGCTATCCAATCCATATCCCTAAACCAAAACCTAGTCAAAGGCCAGGAATATTGGTATTACCCATGTCTGAAAAACTGACTTTTCACAAAATAGGCCTGTTAGTAGTGATAGGTTATTACAAGAATTTTATTAAGCTCAGGTTTAGTGTAATTTAATGGTTAAAGATTAGGGTTAAGGCTATGGTAGTATTGGTAGGACTTGGGTTAGGGTTGACATTATCAAGTCTTTAGTTAAATACCAGTAATCTAACACTATTTTTTAAAAACAAGATTTTATAATTGTGGCATTAGCATCTGACACTGGTATAACATATCCCCTATGACCCTAACACCAGAGCTGAGAAATAGAAATTATGACCTGATCTAGATCTTTTATTACAAACAAATTTAGTCACACACCTTTTTTAATAAGTTTTCTAGATCTACAATCCTACTAAATCTACCACTAGATCTAGCTAGGCCAATGCCGCTGCCGAGAAAATCGGACAAATCGGCTTTTTCCTACCCCTTGCATGTTTAACTCTGTTTTTTGCATGCTTTTATTGTGTTTATGTTAACATGTTATACATCATTCTGTTCGTAATTGAATTACCTTTTTAAGTGTATTAGTTTGATTTCTCTATTATTTCAGACGTTGAAGAAATCGCCGATTAAATCGCATTTTTTACCCTCCGCGGCGACGTGCCGATTAGGGGGGAGGCTTTTTCACCTTTTTAAAAGGGGGGTGTTACTTGGAGTCTATAGACTCTGTGAGTTTTCGTACTACAACTGTGAAACTTGGTAGAAGAATAGATTAAATGTACACGTATAACGCTCAGGGTTCTTGGTTAAAATATGTTAAATACTTTCGGAGATATCAGACCGCAAAGTTAAACTAAGTTATTTGAGCTATTTAAGGACCGATTTTTTATTTGAACCCTGAGCTGTATTCCTGAAATCTCGACGTTTATTAATATGTATGATATGTCCTATAAGGCCCTATAATAAGGACGTCTATAGACTTTGAAGTGGACCGAAAATATAAACATGACGCGCCGACCGCTGTCTGACTGAACCGCCCTGCTGTGCTTCAAATCGCCGTCTTTAACTTGATGACGCGTTACAAAATTTTTATACACGTATCGAGTTTACGTACTACAACAGTCAAATTTGGCAGACGAATACATTAAATGTAGACATATAACGCTCAGGGTTCGTGGTCAAAATAAGTTAAATACTTTTGGAGATATCGGACCGCAAAGTTGAACCAAGTTTCCCGGTCTATTATTGGACATATTTTACATTTGAACCCTGAGCTGTATTCCCGAAATCCCGCCGTTTATTTTAATGTATGACATGTAATATAGCACCTCGTAATAAAGCCGTCCATACATTTTAAAACCGAACGAAAATAAAAATTAACGCGTCGGCCGCCGTCCGACTGATTGGTGATCTACACATCGTGTGGCACAGCCGAGTGTGTGGTCACGTGACGCTAGGCGCTTGATCCGATTGGATGAGACTATAAACAATGTCTAAAGATAGATACATGTGTTCCCGTGTTTGACTCGACGGCTATTGCTACTTTATATTTATAAGCACACAGACATGTTGCATTACTTTGTCTTAACCCATTGAAACGTCAAACAAAAGTTTTGTTAGTATTTACGGCTGAAGACTAATCGTCAAAATTAATCTTCTTTAGAAATTAATCCGAATAGCTTCGGCCCGATCAAACAATGTTGTGATGTGATTCGTGTAACGTTTCATCATTGTGTACATTACTTTTTCGTAAAAATGGCTTTAAAAATAAATTAAATTATATCCGGGGCTCTTTTCTACAAATTTTAATACCACTAGCTTGCCAAATCGACCAAAATGGGGTGGGGTGGATGAGGGTAGCCACTGACCATCCTACACTGTATGTAACACCCATAACCTCACCCCGCCCCCACTAGTCCGTGACGCGACAAGCCGACGAGCATAGCTTTTGATGTTGTATAACACCCGTACGGTACACGGTGGTTTCATACCCCACCTCCCCCCCCTTCACTTTGTGGATGTTACTAACCCTCGGGCATAGATCAGGAAATCTTGCCAGACTTTTGTCTCTGAGATTACATACTATTCATCTGACACGTTCATCGGGTTGGGGTTGGCAGACTAGCCTATCCAACGGTCGTGTTTACGTAATAGGGCAATAAAATTCGTTGGTCAGAAGACCTGGTTACCCACATGTCTGATTGAACTAAATCTAGGCAAAAGCTGGTGGTGGTACACGTGTCTGTGTATAGCCAAACACGGTAATCTTACACAATTTCTAGAATCTACTAGATCTACACAGTCAAGCACTCAAACACGTGCTTTTTTCTTAAGAAAGTTTTTAATTGTAAAAGGCCTACTGGTAGGCTTACAAAATACATAAACATACTTACTACTAGCATAAACATTGGGCATAAATATAAATTTATGTTATGTATCTATAACTAGATCTATACCTTGTGCAAGTTTAAAAAAAAAAATTTTTTCCTCCAAAGTTTATTTTATTGACATTGTAAAAATGATTAACTTTAATATGGGTAATAATATTACATAATTACCATAAAGCACACTCTGATTCTGATCAGACACATTTGTAACTAGACTAATTCTATAGCAAAAAGGATTAAGATATTTAAAATAACAAGAAATATAATTATAATGAGATAGGCCTTTATTTTTGGAACAGAGTAGGCCTATAGTATTGCACATAGATTACATAACATCTTTTAAGAAGTTACCTAATCACAAATTTACTATAGCATTCTTCTCTTTGTATTGAAAAACTTGATTAGTTATATTTTCTTCTAGTAGGCTATTAACTTGAAGTTAACTGACAATGAGCAAAAGTGATTTTAAAACAAATTCATGGTATATTTTGAGCAAAGGGTGGGATTACATAACCTTTACATTTGATAGTTATGTAACAATGTTGGACCATTTCAAATCTACCATTAGCTTGAGCATATACAAATGTCATATTTTAGATTAAAACAGCGTTACATTTAAAGAATGACTTCTTATCACGTTGATTATTAGATGTTTAAAAAAAATTTAAAGGGGGGTATTACATAATCTATGAGATTAGTAGGTTGAGTAATCAAAGGACACTTTTTAAAATAGCATCATTGGATTCAGCATACAAAAATCTATAAAATGTCTTAAAATTACATCAATTGATAAAGTATTCTGGCTTTTATACCACTTTTAGTGAAAAACGCTTAAAAATTTGGTCCATACCCTCCCAGTATTTTTCCTCTTTCAGGGTCTACCCCGGTTGTCTGAAAAAACTGCTGTTTTTTAATGACTAAAAAATTCATAACTTTTTTGTTTATGGTCAGATTTTGAAAATTCAAACTGATCTGTAATCAGATTGACAGCCCCTATCCAAATATGTAACTATTATATTGTTTTACTGAAATTAAATTTTTGCATTGGCCTAGCTACTAGATCTAAAATCAAGATCTGGTACCAACTAGATTCTCCCACTAAAACTCCAGAGTGCTCATTTTTAACAAGTAGTGAGTGAGAAGGTCTTCAAGAGAGGATGTCTGTGACATTTAGTTAAGTTCTACTGCTTCTACTAATCTAATCTTTATTTGTTTCAGAGTTAAATTGATAAATAATAATTAAAATGAGAAAAAAGCCTAATGGCAGTACTAGTTATGCATAGTTTTACTATAAAATATGGCCAAGGCAATTTCCCAGCTGACCATGAATAGCCCCCTAAATAAAATTTAGTTTATACATTTAAAACATCCAACATATTATTTTCGACAAAAGTCTGTATCTTTATCATTTTGATCTCTTAGTGGCTTGGCTCAGGACATGCGGGGGGGGGGGGGGGGGGGTTATGCATATGGGCTTTTATATATTAGGATATCTAGCCAACATCTAGATCTAGATCTATGGCGGCCCTACTGCATTTTTAAATATAACCCAACCCTACTATAATATATATATAATATATATAAACTGTTATAACACTATTGGTTTGATTTAACACTAGTTGATGCTAAGAAAACCTTAAACTATTGAGGATTCTTAGATTAGCTTCCCAAGCTCAAGTGTTCCTCACTTACTATTTACTAGCTGCTAGTAATAGGCCACATGAACAAAAAAATAAAGTGAGTCATTATAATATTTTTATTATTTTTAGTTAGGGGCCAAGTTAGTTAAAAAAATGTATCTACTGTCTAGATCTAATTTATGATTAAAATAACATTTCTTCCAAGATTCTTTCCATTGAATATCTCTAAAACATTGTATTCATTTTTAAAACCCTAGCAATCTCGGAGGCTGACATTTTTCAGTTTATCAACATGTAGGCCCAGTTTTGAAAGTAAAAAAGGGAAATAGATCTAGATCTAGCTGCATTTCCATGGCTCTTACTTCAAATTGTTTTGTTTTTAAAAAGTTTAAAACTAATAGTAGGCCTACATAGGTTCTAAGCTATTCACTTATTTAAATTTAGCCAAACAAACTTCGACTAGCCTAAATCAAAATTGCGGAAAGAGAAGAAGCCATTTTTAGTGTGATTTAGCAGACCAATTCTGCTTTTGACAGGACCATAGTTATGTCTACCTACTGGTATCTACACAGTCAGCAACTAAACAGTCTAGGCATTCTAGGTCTTAGGTCTACTCTAGGTTGTAAAATATTGAACTCTATAAAAACTATTAAATGTACTAAAGTGTTGTAGAAAAAGATCTAGATCTAGAGGTCTAGATCTACCACTACTAGAAAGTTACAACAGAAGCAGTCTTGGGTTAAACTCCATTTTAGCGTATTTTATTCACCACTTTACGTTCACCTCAGGTTGAGCGTATTCTATTACAAACACAACCGAAACACGCAAAAACGTTAGAAAAACACTAGGATTAGAGCTAGATCTATATCTATTTATTTTTTTATATGAATGTGTTTTAATTAGAAAAGGTAATAAAAAAGCATTAGGACAGTTCCAATTAAATAGCGTGAGATCGACAGCTGGAGAAAAATCCCTACACGGTCGAGGGTTCACCATACGTCATAGGCCTAGCTTGGGCAATAGTTATTTGAAATGGTGTTGGCCTCAGTTCATAAAAGTTTAGGCTTATAGATCTAGATCTAGGTAGCATTCAATATTCCAAATTTGGATTTTTCTCAAGTTTTGACAAAAATAAATTATCAAAACGAAATCAAAACTTCATAAAGAAATGAGGCATAAGCCCAATGTTTTCCTAATGTTTTTGTGTTTCGGTTGTTTATAATAAAATACGCTCAACTGGAGGTGAACGTGATGCGGGGAATAAAATACGCTAAAATGGAGGGTGAGTTTTACACTACAGCAGTCTTGAGTTTAGAATCTAGATCTAGATAGACTGCTAGAGTTTAGGCATTTCGACTTCCGCTGTTTCGATTCGGTACGACCACATCCTGACTTTTTCATCGTACTTGTTGAAATTCGCCATTTTTTAACATGTTAATTCTCGCCATCGGAATCGAAGAATAAAATGTATTCGATGTGAATATTTGAGTTGAATTTCATCTTTTATACATACTAATAAATGAATTAGCTCCCGTTTTACATTGTCCGATACCGAAAGCGATCACCGATAATAGCAAATATTTGTCGAAATGCCGACGCTACCGAACTGGCGCATTGACAACTAAATTTCAGATATAAATAATCCTTTAAGTTGCATGAAAATAGGCTTAAATAGCATGCCAACCATTTGGATAAATAGAAATGTCGATTTGAAGGGTTTTTAAGCACGGGCCAATGAGGAGTAGCGCGATAAAACTCGTAGGGGTAGGAACGAGAAAGCATGCGTAATTTCATAATGGCGGCCGGGCTACGAGATATTAATAGATATGCGCATACGATGTTTTTTAAATAGCTGTTTGTTTTTAAATGGACTGTTACAATAAAATTAAAATGGGCTTAAAATAAATATACTTTAGATCTAAATTATTAGATTAAAAATGGAAAGAATGTAATTAGGCCTAATTGCTGCCTAAATAAATTATAAAATTTTAAATTAGCCAGATTTTTATTAACCTTCTTAATACCAGGTTAACTAGATCTAGCAAACTAGCATTAACGAATTGCAGATAAATAGATTATAAAGGCATTTTCAAGTAGAAAAAATCTATATTTATTGTAAACAGTTTAAAAAAAAAATAGAATCTAGATCTAGATCTAAATGGAAATGAAAACACTAAAACAATAATGGGTCTAGAGATGTGTAATAATATATATATATATATATAGGCCTATATATATATATATATATATATATATATATATATATATATATATATATATATATATATATATATATATAATATATAAACTATTAGGCCTTAATGTAAATACTGACAGGCCTATCTGTAGTATCTAGATCTATAAAGTACTATAAAGGGCCTAAATTAAAAATAATAATGCCCAATTTTATAAACTGCACTGCATTACAGTTTTAGTTATAGGCAACTATAATAGAAAGAAAACATGAACACTTTAATTAATGTCATTTAAGAATTTATCAAAGGATACGTCAACTTCACTAAACATTTTATAAATAAGAATACTGTGAAATGTCAATCTTTGAGTTTTAGCACACCTCAACACTTTTCATCAGAAACATTACAAGAACCAAAATTTTCTAAATTAATAATAACATTTTTACCATGTTATACACGGACACAAATCCAATGTTTATGGCAAATCGTTAAGTATCTTGATCATATTGTGCTGTATTTGACCTGTAAGTTCTAACTCTATACATTACCTGTACAATATGTATACTAGCATTCTTATTACTAACACCAGAATCAATATGTAAAGTTTAATCTTTATTTTTATAGTAGCAACAAAGAAGTGTAACATATTAGCCTGTAGTTAATCATCATAGTCTAATTGCGCTGTACCATATTCAAGTTCACTATTTATAGTTTTCCTCTAGCTATGTTTATTTTACTTGCATGATTGTATTTTGTACAAGCTCTAGTCCTAATATATAAAGTTTCATGATGGTATATGGAATAGCAACCTAGCTGTGCAGTCTGGAAATCCTCGTAAGGCAGTCACTATAGAACAGTGCCACACCCCTTAATTTAACTTCATTATTTCTAGTTACCTCTTTTCTAATTTTTATTTTATTTGTAGACTTCTATTGCCTATATCATTGAGTACAAATGTGCAAAGTTTTATCATTATATCTTTAATAGCAACATTGGTATGCAAGTTTAAAGCCAATCACACGTCTGGAATGCAGGTTACAATGAAACATAACAAGTTAAACACATAACTTTGAAAATTCATATAAAAAAAACTATTAGGCCTAGAATGATAAATTTGATATTTTTATCAATTGGGTATATTATAGGATTAATCTGGGTCCATTTTATCATTCTATGATAATTAGGAAAAATTTCCCAATAGGCCTAGCTAGAGTTAGAGTGCAGCTAGGCTGCTAGAGTCTAGTTCTAGATCTAGAGTCTAGAACCTAAGTAACTAGAATGGACTTGCACTGATTAGAAATTTAGATCTAGAAATCTACTACTAGATCTAGATTCTAGATTTAAATCTAGAAACTAGTCTAGATCTAGAATTAGGCTAATAAATTTATTTCTAATTTCTAGGCTCAACTTCCAATTTTCTCATTCATGATTCACTTTCAGCCTAGGCCACTACAATTCTAGATCAAACAACAACACTAACTAGAAGTTCACTTACTCTTTTTTGAAAAGCAGTTAATCCATATCACAGTTTGAAATGAAATAGACGCAATTTTTGATAAATAGCCAAAATCCTTTACTGTTACAAACGGTAACAGAATGAGAATATTATTTCCAAACAACCGACGTAAACAAAACAAACGAACAAATTCGTTTGTTTACACAGTATTTGTCCATTTGTACCTTTATAAGGAGCTTAGAAATGGATTGCACACCTAAAGATTTATATGTAATTACTAAAAGTTCACTTTAATTACATAAAAAGAAACGTTTTTTACAACCAACTTATTATATTTCTGAAAATTAATTATTTTGTGATAACTTTCCAATCCACTATGGCGGCCATAATATTGAACACTTTTGGGGACTTCATAGACGGTTGGCACGGATCTTCTCGCGAGAAATAACTAAAAAAGTAAATTTTTTACATTATTTAAGTATTTTATCATATTTATTGCAAACTTTAAAAACGTATTCTAGCTAGATACATAAACTTTAAAATTTTATTGTTTAAAAGTATCACTTGGATCTTGTTTGCTTCCGTACACAAGTAAACAAAGCGCATGCGCGAAGCTAATAATGTCACATATCAATGTCTGATGTTCTGTATAACAATAATACTGGTTTTGCATGGTTTTCTTGATTAATAAGATACTATTTCATTCATCCTACTAACCCACTAACATGCTTGATCCCTCTTCTAGTGAGGAGGAATCGGATAATGCTGCGGTTGAAGATGGAGATGAAAATAATTCAGATGTGCTTAGTCTACCAAGTGCTGAGCAGAGAAGCTTGTCTGCTAGCGGGGATAACTTGAGTGTTGTGGGTGGACATTCCCGTTCAAACAGTATCAGACCGTCAAGTCCCAGCCCATCTCTAGTAAGTGATAGAGAAAAAATTGAAGAATTTGACAAAAGCGAACGAGAAGAGGAGGAACGTAAAAGGAGGCTTCAGTTGTATGTTTTTGTTATGCGTTGTATTGCTTATCCATTCAATGCTAAACAACCCACAGATATGGCAAGAAGGCAAACTAAAGTTACAAAAGCTCAGCTTCAAACAATTAAAGAACGTTTTCATGCATTTTTAATAGGAGAAACTCATATAGTAGCAGATGAGGCTTTCACTAATGCTGTTCAAAGCTATTACGAAGTGTTTTTAAAAAGTGACAGGGTAGCAAACATGGTACGCAGTGGTGGTTGCTCAGCAAATGATTTTCGGGAAGTTTTCAAAAACAATATTGAGAAGCGAGTAAGGAGTTTACCAGAAATAGATGGCTTGAGTAAAGAAACAGTTTTAAGTTCATGGATGGCTAAATTTGATGCAATTTATCGTGGGGATGAAGACCCTCGAAAACAGCCACAAAGGATTTCTACTGCAGCATCCGAGTTAATTCTCAGCAAAGAACAGTTATATGAAATGTTCCAGAATATTTTGAATGTTAAAAAGTATGAACATCAGATTCTCTACAATGCATGCCAGGTACACAGCTTTGCTTATTAATAAATGTCAAATTTAAACATTTTTTTGGGATATTATACTACTAGACTAGACTAGACCTTCTTCATTATAAATGATTGCAACATGCATTTGGACAATGGACACTTCTGTAAAGTGAAGTTTTGTGTTATTTGTAGATATAGTAAACCAAACGAGCTGATTCTTCATACCATTCACCAGTTATTGACCCTATATGTTTTTTATAGAATAGTCGTGTTTGTTTATTAGGCATAATTTATAATATTAATGATCAAGTAGATTTATAGCCTATAATTTATATGTAGCTTGACTTGCAAATAGTTTAATCAGAATGTATTTAAACATTTTAATACCAACTAAAATCATAGTCTAGTTTGCTAATAGTAGATGCATGTAATATTTTATACTAATAACCTTAAACCCTTGTTTCTTTTTAAAAAATTTAATTGGTAGGAAAAATCTCTACAGTATACTCAAAAGTAGGCCTATACAAGTTAATGTAAATAAACAACATAAAATAAAGGCCGATTCTAGCCGGAAAAAGATATGCGCAATTGAGAGAAACTACGACTTGCCTTCGTGGCGATGTTTTCGATGGTACTGCGCATGCGTGTGTTTACAAACCAACGCCTGTGTTTACAAACCAACCACAGAACCTTAGCCCTAAACCTACCCTTAGCCCTAACGCTAGCCATCACCCTAGCTCAGCTATTAAGGTCACTGCGCATGCGCAGAACTATCTTTTGCCGACCAAGTGGAGACACAGGGGCGAAAAATCTTTTTCTGAGTAGTCACTTTGTAAAGTAATTAGTAAATACCTTATAGGCCAATTTCTTTTTTACTACTAACTGGACAACATAACAACCTCTACCCCCAATTATTGCAGGAAAGTTAATTGATGTTTTAAGAATAAAGCCTATGGTTTTGTTCAAAATGTATTTAAAAAATATATTCTGGGCCTAAGCTATTTCAGTTTTACTTTTCATTAAGTCATTAAGTTAATCTTCTGGCAAATTTACTCTTTTTTAATATAATTGCTCAGTTAAGTAACCAGTTTCCAAATTAAGTTACTTAAACTTTCTAGATTTAAATCTACTTTGGTAATGTCAAATAGTCTATCAAAAGCAGTCATGAATGAAAATTTTCATTCATTATATGTTATAAAACTGGCATTATAAATTTTAAAACATTTAACAATAATTAGGTGTATTGATGTAGATTTTTTTATTCATTTTAATTGATTTAGTATTGCTTACTTACTAACTGAATTGCCCTCAAAGCTTTAGATTATAATGTAGAGAAGACATATTACATTACTAATAATTACTTGATAAATATATAGGCCTACAATTAAATAAAAATAAATCAATGAATAGGATTAATATTTTTAACTCAATAAAGTATAAAGTTTCTAAATTTAGTTAAAGCTTTTAATTCAGCCACAAATATTTTAACATATCCTTTTCTGCCAATCAGTTACAGTGTAACTGATTGGCAGAAAAGGATATGTTAACTTACACACACACTGACTGATGCAGATTTAAAAAGCTAAAACATTAACAATCTGTATTAATCCTTATGGAACAGTGTTTAAAATTGGTTTTATGCATTACTACTAAACAATACATGCATACATATGAAATTTTTTTACCTATCTCTCTGTCTATACATATATGTATACTATCAATCCTGCCTCAAGCTTTGCTGCTACCAGATGCAATACTTTAACTTTAAGAAAATTATATGTGTAACCAATCGTGTATTTTTAGACGTGTGACCTTGTTTTCTAAAACCTGAGTTATTTAAATGTAAACAAAGCAGGCATTATATTTATTGGAATACAGTTGTTACTGCGCAGAGTTTGTCCAAGCTACCGCCCAGAAGCACACAGTATTTCATCTGTAATACAATTGTGTGTATGCACCATGGTGCTTTTTGTAACCATAGAATATCGCATGCTTTAAAATAAACGTAAGGGCAATAGTGCTCACTGGGGTGCTCTGGGTCACTCAACTGTTATGGTGCTGGCAGATGCACCTGGTGCAGTTTTACCGCTGTATCAAGTAGTTACCCTGACTCTCTTATTCAGGAGGCTCATCAATAAATACAAAGTGCTAAGAATAAGATAGCTGCTCAGAAACTTTGAGTGCCAAGCCGTATATAGAGAAAAATCACACCCAACCTTGTTTTAGGATTGTTACATTTAAGTATTTGCAAATATTTAGAGTAGTGTCCCTTTTGTTTACATGTTTTCATTATCCTTCAAACTATAGTCTATATTAGTTACATTGAGATTAAAGAATGTAAATAAATAGTACACACAATTCTGTAACATAGGAACGATTGGGAGGGAAGTGACATATAGGGCAGGAAACTTAAAGGTTAGGTAGGGTATAAAATATAAAAGGTGGGTTTAGGAAAGTTAGGGGGTCCATTCTCTAATAGACAGCCTAGGTCTCATATGTACTTTCAAGCAATTAAGAAGTTAATTATTTATACACAGACTTCGTGCTGGTTTATTGTCGACCCTGTCCTCATCTTACATCACAACATACGTAGAGGTTTTGTTGAGGTTTCTGCGGGGAAAATAATAATTTTCGGAGGAGCTGTGCTCGGGCTCCCTGTAAGCCCTAGTAAGAAAATACCCACACATAGCAGAGTATCAATATTTAATATTTTTGTTTAAAGCATTAACATCAACCTTCCTCACCACAAGTTTAATTAAATCTACCACTCTCATCACCTGGGCTCTTCCATATTTTATAACTTTTGTAGTTAACTTAATATTTAAGAAAATACAAATTAGTAATTGTTTGTGAATGCCCAGCCTTGAATATTGAAAAATTGTTGGTGCACAAAACCAATAAAAATGTAGATATGCATTGAGGAATTTATCTATTTAAGGTAGTAATAGAAAACTACCACAAACATTATGGTCATTCATTGATAGAGTCACTGAAGGGAGGGGCCTTTACTTATTTTTGTGACAATTAGAAATGTAAGGGTTTAAATGGGGTAGGGGGTTCAAGCAACATAACATGTTAGTGACATTTATTATAATTACATTAATTGGAGCATAGGGGGGAGTTGGAATTTTGTTATGCCACCATTTTATATGATGATGGCATGTATGGGGGGGGGGGGGGGAGGCTCAAAGAATTGTTACATAATCATTAGTAGTTTTACAACTTACATAATCATTTAATCAAGATCCTTATTCAATAGCTCACTTCTTTCTATTCTGTCAAGGTTTTGTATCCAAGTTTGAACCATGAACACTACTTCTTTATGTTGAATTCCATTTTCTAAAGTAAAAGCCATTCTTTTTGTTTTATTGACTTAGCAATGCTTGTATGGTATAGCTAAATGAACAAACCAAATACTTTTAACTTTTAAAACATGATGGTAGTTTATTGTTGCTATCTCTCTTTTAATCAGCCTATGCTATCTTACATGTTAATGGAATCCATATTTTGATATAGGCCTATCTGCTTTTTAATGTAAATACACCTTGAAAGTACTGAGTTTTGTCCCTTTTCTAAGTATGGCTATTTTCTCATCAGTAGCTTTATTGTCATGTTTAGGTTGAAAGCAAATAATTTTCACTTTTCTCACTCCTTGGTTTTTCAAGATTGAAGCAAGCTTCACACATTCATTTGTATGGATAAGATTTTATCAACATGCACTTATTTTTAATCATATTTTGACAGATCACAGAGACACTTCTTTAATGTTTTAAATTTGAATGTAAGAAATTATCATACAAAGGAGTAAATATTCCCCCCCCCCCCCTTTTTTTGTTGTTGTTTTTATTGCTTTTATTAATTGTTTTTAAATGTGTAGAGTTGAAACATGATCGGATGTGACACTGGCTACTCATCTATTGTAATATATAAAACTAGATATGTTTTAGCCACATTCATGGCTCAAGTGCCCCCCCCCCCCCCCCCCCCCTAAAAATTCCAGAACCTCATGGAATCTCCTGAAAATCTCATAGTATGTCCTGAAGTAAGAATAAGTTTCCTGATAAGACTAAATGTGGTTAAACAATTTAATCACTTTATAGCAGAAGCATGAATGCTTGTACTTAATGTACCAGGTGTGTTGTACACATTGTAACAGCTGTGCACTGTCAAGATAATACTCATTCTAGAAAATATCAGTTACCATTCTGTTAACATCAGAAAACTAGATATGGAAAATGTGTGCTCATAAAATGCAATGTGTGCTTGAAGTAATATGCTGGAACAAAATTGGCTACCAAATTAATGGCTTTGAAGACAACCCTCAACATTTCCAGTTAAAATACTGAATTTCAGAAAATTGATTGTATAAGACCTCGTTCAGCTTTTAGCAAATAAAAATGTAAAAAAATCAGATTTGATTAAATTTAATGCAATATACTCTGAAATGCTTATGAAATGCAAGTGCTTAGCAGGAAACTCTCACTTTAAACAATCTGGTTTGTCAAACATGTAAAGTAAAACAGCGTATTAAACTTGTTTTTGTCTTCTGCCTCAGTACTGTTACATTACTTTTTTGTATCACTTAGAGTATAATAATAGGGGCCATTAATTTAGCTTCAACTCTTCATTGTTCATACATATTTTAGGATAACAGCTTTTGAAGTAAAACTAAATTTAATTGAGTATGCATTATTCATTGAATTTCACAGATTTCTATTAAACCATCTTTAAAAAAAAAAAGAGATTTTTGCAAATCTTGACATTTTACACCTCCCTGAGTCGGAAAAACATAGTTTTGCAATCTTGACTGTATGTATGTGTGTGACTCTGAACATGATAACTTGAGTACCGTTAGAGCTAGGTTGATGAAATTTCATATATAAGTATAATATCAAATTTGTAGCTCTGTTTGGCGTTCACTTGGTGTGCTATTATCTACAAATTCTATTCTATTTTAAAAAGTTTAAGTAATTAAAAAAATGGATTAAAATCATGTCTATATCCCGAGATGCCATCCCCAGTAGTGTTATTTAAGAA